TGTTTTCCCATCTGGTCTCACAACAACCAGGGAACGCAAGCAGAGTCAGGATTGTTCTCATTATTTGACATTTGAGGAAACCAAGATTTAGTGAAGTGAAGTGACTTTCCCAAGGTCACATGAGTGGGGGTGGCAGAGCTGGGATTTAGACCCAAGGCTCCAATTCCAGTTCAGTGGTTCAGCAGCACATTGTCTAATGGCTGAGACCTGAGACCTGAGCTCTTTCCAGTTATGTCACCTTGGACAAATCCCATAACCTCACTGAATCTTGTCTTATCTGTAAAAACGGTATCACAATACTGCCTATCTCATGGGCTACTGGAAAGGGTTAGGGACTTAGCCCTAAGTGTCTCCCACAGAGTAAACATTCAATAAGTGAGAACTATTATTTAATAAACCCAAGTGATAAAACCCTATGGCATGACTGGGATATGCGACTGCTGTTACGCAATGAGGAACTTGCAACGGTTCTGTGGAAAGAATGTGAGGGGGAGGTCTGTGCCCCAACCCCAGGCAGGGCCAAAGCCGAGTCACAGACCATCCCTGCCTCACTCTCATTCTGTCCTTCAGCTCCATAGCTCTCTATTCCTGACTTTGTCACTCTTTCACTAATATGTATACGATTTTAAACAATTTTTTGAATTTCACAAGTAATAAATAGATCTCATTATAAAATATTTAAATCAATACAGAGCTTTATTGAGTAAAGAATAAAAGGTTTCTTCACCCCACCCCTTTCCCATATTTCACTTTCCCTCCCCAGAGGTAATCACTGTTACTGATTTGGCGTGTTCTTTCCAGAACTTCTCTAAGCGTGTGTGTGTGTGTGTGTGTGTGTGTGTGTGTGTGTGTGTGTGCGTGTGTGTGTGTTCTTTTAACATAAATTGAATCATTTATACTTATTGCATCACTTATAATCTGCCTCAATAGTCTTAGAATCTTTCTATGTCTGACCTACTTCATTCTTTTAAACTGATATCTGGTATTTCATAGTATGGATATGCCATAGCTTGTCTAATAATTTCCCTGCTGATGGACATTTAAGTTGCATCCAAGTATTGTTATTATGAATAATATTATAACTAAAATATTTTTAACATGCTTTTTGGGGTACATGTGCCCAAATATATCTCTGAGATAGAGAGAGCCTTAGAAGCAGAACTTGTGGGCCAAGCAGTAAGCACATTTTTAAATGCAATAGGGTGTGCACGTGCAGGGACCGTCCCAGCTTCAGGCCTCGAGGCTTTGAGAGCACTGAACCACAGCAATGACTGAGATGAGATGACTGTGTCATACCAGCTTGATGCTGTGCCCAGAACCAGAAGAAAACCGTGCATGCACAATTCATTACAGCCCATAGAGAAGGCTTTCATAGTAGATCTCTACTGACTGTAGACTTACAAACTACAGGATGCAGGATGACTAGGCCATTGCTGGCTGAGTCAGAACTTCATGGAAATCAGGAGGCTGCTCCCCCTCCTGATCTAATAAACATGATGGAGCTGAAGATGGTTTTGAAAGTTTCTTTAAAGGAGATGCAGAAGGTGGAGGAAACAGGAACGAAGGCTAAAATTCACTAAAAATGCCTTGTTTTATCATTTTGACTTAATATTATTATAATTGCGACTTTATGGAGATTTTCATTACTATTTGCCGAAATATTCACTCTCTGCTAACGCCCTTGCTTAAAGTTCCATTTAAGCTCTGCATCTTTATCACAATTTTCCAAGGAAGATTTTCTTCCCTTTAACACATGCCACAAAAATGTCACTGTCTGCTCCATCCACTTTCCTGGAAATGGCTTTCCTTTCTGCCTGTTTTTGGTGTGTGTGTTTTGGGAAGGGCGAGTGGGGAGCACTGCCCATCCCTGATCTCTTTTTGACCCCTGTGAAACTTGAAGGGGACTGAGTGTTAAAGTCCTTTGGTTTAATTGAGTGTAAACTCCATTTCTTGATGCTAAACATCAGTCTCTCCCTGACAGGTAGCAATAGGATGCCACACCACATCCTGTCAGCACTAGAATGAAATCTCTCCTCCAATGGAAGCAGCTCAGGGTTTCTGTTCAATCAGTCCACATCCACCGTGTTGTTAACGCCCAAACAAGCAGTACCAGGAGCCATAGGTCAAAATATTTATGGCAGACATTTTTACCTTGAATTAAATATCACCCTCTGTGCTTCCACCATGCCCCGTGCTTCTCTCTGAAACAGCACTCAACGCGCTGTCTATTTCTGCCCATGTCTGTCTCCCTCACTAGGCTGTGAACAAATTAAAGGCAGCGACTGTCCCGATTTATCTCCATGTCTCTAGCTTCTACTGCATGGTCTGGCACCTCCCAAACGCTCCCAAAAGGCTTCTTAAATGAATGACCAAATGGGAAAAATTCTATTTAGCAGCTTGATGCTTACGGTGAATGTAAAAACCACCACAATCCACTGTGCCCATGGGAAGCCTTGGACCAAATATTGAGAACTACTGTTGCAGACTGTGCCCAATGGAATGATTCCTTGTAAGAGTTATTGTGAAATATTATATTCACATAGAGCGAAATTGTATAAAGCCTAAATATACAGTTTAATTGTAAAGCAAACACCATGCAACATCATTCAGGGGAGAATGAAACATAACAACACCTCATAAGGCCCTCGGTGCCCCTCCCCGATTACAACCCTCTCCCTCTCCTACNGTCCTGGAAAAACACAACGTTCCCCTTCCCCAATTTCCCAACACTCTTCCCCTCCCCAATTCCCCAATAAAAATATTTTTTAAAAAATCAATTTAAAAATCAAGTAGCTCCTTTATTCATTTAAGTAGCTCCTTTAAGGATACCTGGTGTGGGAGCCTAGTTTGTGCTACCACAGGTGGCGGAACACTCTGGGTATGGAAATGTTGATAAAACACTTGCCAGATTTTTCCCACTGTCAGCACCAAAACCATGACAGCAGTCATTTGGCGCAAGCCCATCCAGTTCAGATATCTCTCCACAGCAGTTCCTGAATGGAGCTCTTTAACCTGGGACCTTGTGAAAGCAACAGGATGACTGGTTGAGAGTGACAAAGCTAAACCCAGTAGTTTTATTCTAAGCACTTTATTCTAAGGTTCCTTTGACTCCACTTGTGTACCTCTGAGCCCAGATGATCGTCAATGCCTCTGACAAAAACTTTCAGCTCACTGGCACTAAGGAACTGGTGGAAACCCTTCATCAGGGATGGCTGAAAGAACCATTTCTGTACAGCTCTGGATTCAATTCCTCTTTTATGACCCACTCCATTCTCATCCCACTCCTTCTGGGCTAGGATGTTGTGTCTCTTGAATCAGTGTTCTATGTCTATATACCCACTCACTTGAGGATTCTCTTTCTGGGGTATCTTCTTGTGGTATTGATGGTGGGAAGGGGGGCCTCTTCCTCCAAGGAGTACTCCAAAATGCTGTGTGCTTAACACAAAAATGGATTAAGCTGCTGCTGGGACTCTCAGTCTGTCTCAGTCTAACCTGGGTGTTCTGTGACCTGTTTTGTATCTTGTCACTTTGTCGTATCCAGGGACCAGCTATCCTGATTTGTCCAGAAAGTCCCATGTCTGAGGAAATCCCTCAGTTCCCAGCAAACCCGGATGTTGGTCACTTTACAAGGGTAGAGGCATTGTATATATAATACCTTTGCTAGAAGGAATCATTTTCTGAATGGAATCCAAATTGAAGATGGATTCTACTCCTGTTGGNAGGCCTGTGTTCTTCAGTATTCCCTTGTGGGTAAGGGCCCAGGGCATAAAGTGAAAAAGTCTTAGATTTGAAACCCAGTTTGAATATATTTTAGCTATGTCACTTTAGGAAATGTACTTAACGTCTCTGAATCTGAGTTTCTCCATCTGTAAGAAGGAACATAACAATATGACCTATGACCTATGACATAGAGTTTTTGAGAAGATTTAATGATATAAGGGACATAGTAGGGTGCTTGGACTGACACGTGATTTTTTGAAAATTACTCCAGGATTTTTGTTCGCATTACCTTGCAGTTGCCAGAGAAAAGTCTGCTTGCATATATTCAATTTCCCATGAGACTGTGGGTGTCCATCTCCCACAAGAAAAATGCATCTTCCATGGCTTCTCAGGGTCCCTAGATGCTGAACAACTGGCTTTACCAGGAACTGCAGTCAACAACTGGCATCTAAGCTTAGACTGCTTAGTACCCAGTAGTCAGTCTGTTCTGCTTATGGAGCTACTCTCTTGTTCCCTTCCCCACAAAATGGGAAGCAATAGGGTCAGGGCCATTATACCTATATCTTAGTGTGTATGTGTGTAAGCTCTTAGCAGCCAACATAGCTGCTAGAGGACAAGCCACCAATTGTGTCTACTACAGTCTATCCCTTGAACCTTTCGGATGCATTCATTCATCACTTAACCCTTCTTCAGATCTCAATCTTATCACAAGAAGTTCACTCTATTTGGACATAGGGTTTCCAGGATTCTGCTTTGTCACAATTTGGGCAGAAATCTCTAAGAGAAAGATTAATGGGGTTAATTACTGCCCCTGCTACTGTAGTTAGTCCCGAGGCTGCAAGTGACACTCCGTATCTCCTCTACCACCCATTCTAGATTTGTCTCTCTTTCCCTTCACATTCAATCACTTCAGTTGGTCTGGATGGATTCCCTTCTAGTATTACTTTGACCCTCATCCCTGATAGTTCTGAGACTCTGGTTATTATGCCTCATCAGACCATGCTGTTTTAATTGCCCATGTATAGTTAAACTTGGTCATGGAGGAAACAACGAATGCTCTTGTGCCTGAGGGCCAACATCCCAGCCCCCATTATGGAAGAGTGGTCTTACTTTTTCTTGACGATCAGGGCCAACTATCCTTACAAATATGTAATTCCTTTTATTTTATTTATTTATTTTTTTGACTGCTGGTCTACTTGCACAGTGGGCTTAAAATGACCAGGTAGACATTGTAGCTTTAAATGTACTGCAACTTACTGTGTCTCCTATGGAAGCAGGATTGCTAAACCCACAAGGGCTAAAGTCATCAGGACTGAAGCACAGATTTTCTCAACTGGGTCACTGTGGATAATGGTGAGAGGAACCACTCTTAACTTCTACACACTGGTTCTTGGCACGAAGCCTGCCTTTCTAATGGGCAATCAAGCTGAAAACGGATCCTTCCCATTGGACAGGAATATGGACCCCATTACCATTCCCTTATTGGAGCTGCTAGTAGATTACTTATGTGATCATTTCAAGCCTCCCACCCACCCCCAACTATATTGCTGATACATGAGTAATCACTAACAAATAAGTGATACCAATGCCAAAAGTACAAGAACTGTGGGGAAAAATTTTGACATTGAAATAATGCTAACTTCCTGGCTCCCACAACTTCGGTTCTCTCTGTCTTATCACCTTATCTTACTTCTCTGGGTCTGACTCCCTCACTAGACTAGGAATACCTTGAGGGCAGCAACTGTGTCTGGTTTGTTTCTGTCTCCAGCGCCTAGTAAAGATTTTTATGAATGACTGCGTGATCAACTTTTATTCATCACATTGATTGATAAAAATTTTGAAAACCACGATTATTTCTGTAGCATCAGCGGGAAGTCTTTTTGACCCAGTATTTGAGGACCAGGTTTTAGCTGTTGGTTCAACTGAATGAAGCCAATTTAGGCTCCTGTAATTTATTTAAAAATATATACTGTGTTTTTATTTGGTGCTAAGCATTGGCATTGGTGTTCAGAGAACTGAATATATTGCATTTAAGGATCAAGGGCCCCAGAATACCCTAGGCTCCGGTGACATGCCATTTTGGTGATGGCTGCTTTGACATCCTTGTTCCTCAGCGTGTAGATTAGAGGGTTGAGGACAGGTGTGAGAATGGCGAACACCACGTTGCCCATAATGTGGAAGTCCAAGGGCAGGTCAGCTCTATAGGCCACATAGGCTATGGCAATGGATGAGTAGTAG